TTCTAAGGTGAATGGTGAGGAAACCTTCGTCCTAACAAAACATAAGCCCCAAACAAAAATATAATAAAAAGCGTAAATAAAAATAACGCTCGGACTTGGTTCCTTACAAACTTTTTACATGTTTATTAAATAAGTATCCATCCTTTTAGTTTTTTAAATATGATATTTTGTGTCAGGAGCAAGCAAGTTTTCAACCTGACCAATCTTGTCAAGATCAAATATTTATATTAAATGCACTGATACAGTTAAAATTGCAAAAAAAGAGAGGAAAGCTCTATGCTGTTTCTGTGAACTTTCGATCTGCCTTTGATACTGTCAATCATAAAGTTTTGTGGGCTCTATGAGAAAGAACGGGTTAAATAAACAGTTTCTTGGTCTTGTGATTGATATATATTCTAAAGCCGCTGCAAAAGTGAAAATATTATCTGAAACAAATGATTCATTTGGTGTCAGCATTGGAGTTTTGTAGGGTGAGATTTTGAGCCCACTGTTTTTTAATTTGTATGTCAATGGTCTCATAGTTCAACTTACTAAATCTGGTTTACCCGAGAATTCTCTCTCTGATCAAGTTGAGATACATGCACTAATGCCGATGACACTAATTTTGGCTGACTCTGCACTAATGCTACAAAAGAAAATTGTAATTTTAGAGGAATTTTGCTGTGACTACGGGTTAACCGTAAATGTTTCAAAAACAAAGATAATGGTATTCAAGAAGGGAGGTCGAATGTCATCTAGAGAAAGGTGGTTTCTGAACAACCAACCTTTACAAGTTGCTTTAAATTACGTATACTTGGGAGTTTTATTTTTGTCTTCTGGACAATTCTTACTGGCTGATAAGTATGCGTAAAGCTGAAATGGCATTGGGTTCTATGTGGCCTATTTTCTCAAGAGCAAAAATTAACTCTGCTTCTACTTATATGAAATGATTTTGTTCAATGATTTCATCTGTATTACTCTATGCAGCTCCTATATGGGCAATCACTTATTATGATAAACTGGAAATTGTCCTTGCTTTATATTTTAGAAAAATTTTCATTTTATACAACAAAATTCCAGCGTACATGTTGCGATTGGAGTTTCTAGGATATCAGTAATTACAATAAAAGTAATAATTTTATTTTGGATATGTCTCTTAAAATTAGACAATAAAAGCTACGTTAAACTAGCATATGATAAACTTTACAGATTGTGTTCAACGACAAAGGATTGCACATACAATTGGGCGTCAGCATTGCAAATCTGTTGGATCGACTTGATTTTTCCTTTCTATGGCTATCTTGGGATCCTCATTTGATTCGAATGTTGTCAGCCATTCGTTATAAAACTGTGCTGTGAACAAAGTATACAAGAAGATTGGTCTCTGTTAGGAAAGAATAAGCACTATCAATTATATTGCAGCATTAAAACGATGTTCATGTGTGAAGATTATTTGTTTATGGACATAAATTATTATGTTGAACACAACATAATAATCTTTCATTTGAGATGCAGTCAAAATTATATCGTAACATATAACAGCAGACTAACAATAGATCCTGAAAAAATATGTAGTAACTGTACTATGCAAGTATATGAAACTCGGGAACACGTATTTCTTCATCGTATAAAATTTAGAGATAGTAGGAACAAGTATTTAATAAGGTTTAAGTCTTGGAAAGATATTATTAATACATTGCACTTTATAAAAACTGATTATTACTCAATATTTTACTTTGTGTTATTTTGCACTAAATTATTAACTTGCTAAATATTATATTATATCACTATTGATTTTATTTTTGTAACAAATTACCCCTTGTAATGAACTAAGGTTCATACAATAAAGAATTGATTGATTGATTAATCTAATTCTTAAGTTGCTCTGGTGTCTTAAATTTGTTAAGGCACTGTTATTTTGTCAATAAGACTATATGAATTTGAATCCTATTTACACAGATGTTTGTATTTGTCAAGTTTTAATAGTTCATTCTTTGGGATAGAACATTACTTATCATGGAATTAATCTTATCAAAATTAAAATATATATTCAAAATTTCAGATGAAAATTGTTAAGATATAGTTATAACAAGTATGATTTATTTCAGGTGTGTTAAACTCATTTAAACAACGGGCCATTAATGCGGCTGGTAAGATTCACGCGGGCTGCATCACACTTACAAATTTTCTTAAAATTATAATTTGAAGCGAGAATGCAGGAATATAGATAGGGCAATTAAAACACATTATGTAGTTCAGTGAATTCAACTCAACAATATATAATTGCTATAGTATTGCTTTTATTTAATGTACATATTTATAAAACTAAAGTTAATTGTTTTCATCAGAAACTTGCCAGTGCTATCTTCCTCCTCCTAGTTTTCCAATATCTGGATTCAAAGACTGAGAACAAACAATCTACATTATGGCAGATAGATCGTCTTGATCTGTAAGCCGCATGCAGCTCATGTGCCGCCGAATTTATTTTAAACTTCAGAAAAGATAATTTACATAAGCTGAAGAAATATAGTTTATATAAAATGAAATACTAATGATAATTATACATTTATTAACATATATTGATTTATATTTAAATATAGAATTTTTATTTTATGCTTATAATTGATTATCTGTCAGTTATTGATTTTTATCTTGTTTCAGAACTAGAAATTTTAAAATTTTTAACGTTTTATCTTATTTTTTAAATGGAATTTGATTATCAAGCAATGTATTAAAAATGAATTATTATAGCTACATTTATAATCATTGCTATTTCATATTTGTTAAATTGTTATTTTTAATGAATTAGCACATTCCGAATTATTAAAAATAAACTTTTTCTGGTCGTGCACATTATAATGTTTAAGGCAAACACGATTGTTTGCCTTAATACGTGATGAACGGAAATCACAAATAAAATATTATCAAACACATTTGATATTATTTTATTTAAGTGAAATAAAATTAAATTGTATTAATAAATTAATTTAATTAAAGTCGCACCTCATCCTATATGCGAGTAAATACGGTATATTATTGTTAACAATAACCATTTTCGATTTTGCAATAATAATTATGATGATGATGATGATGATGATGATGCAGTAAAAGGATTGTTTAAAAATGTAATAACTTGCAGTAAATTATATATAATAGACTACAAACAGTGAATTATCCATTAAAAATTTTAGCCTCGATTACTAATAATTCTAAGTCGAGATGCATATAATATTCCAATGTATATTCGACTGTAAGATTTAGCAAGTTTTATAGTGGCAATGACCGATCTTTCGTAACTCCAAATTTTGAATCAAATATTAATTTGCGTAATTTTAAAAAAATGAAGTAAAATTTGTCAGCACTTTTGTTGTTCAACTTTTTTGAAAATCTTTCATTGGTTATGTAAAAAAAAATGACTAATTGTAACAATGTGATATTCTTTTGGATTTTATTCAACATATGAAAATTTTTATTTTTAATTCAAATTTTTAATAAGTTGTGTATATATTTATTTTTTGCCTTTATGTTTTTAGTTGTTAAAGTTTCCACTATGTGCTTAATAATAATATCACACTGCAAATGTAATGTTTCTTAGTAACGTTATTTCATCTCATCTCTGCGATACTTGTAAAATAAGTTATTTTTACTTTGCGGATTTATATCTTGCCACATATATGAGGAAGAGTCAAAAAGTAAGTTGCACTCATGCCAAAAATATAATACAAGTATGAAACATAGGGGTTAAAAATATTTATTCATGTAAATGTGCAATTCAAGTACAAGATTTTACAAATACGTGAGCCGTTCACAGCCCGGCACACGTATTTGTAAAATCTAAGTGACTCGTACATCACGGAATTCATATAAAACGGAATTATCAACAGTGTTATAGGGGAGGTCGACTGTATTCAAAAGGTTCTTTTTCGTGGGGCCAAACACATGAAAATCACAAGATGCAAGGTCTGAATTGTAGGGAGGATGTTTCCGTACAGTCCATTTGAATTTTTCCAGCATGCTGAATGAGGTGTTGCTTTTGACAATTTTTCTGGCTGGTGATCTTTAATTGCTTTTGTCAGCCTCTTTGGGGTTGAAATTTCGATGCCCAATTGCATTCTTTTGGTGGTGATATGTCGATTGCAGCAAGTGCTTTATTAATATCCTTCACGATGGAATTCATTTGATTTCTTGGCATATTTTTCAAGGCTGGCAGTCTAAGTCTCTCAGCTGATCACTGCATATGATTTAGTATTTTTTCTTGAGTTCTTGAACTATTTCAGAGCAGTACCTGTTCTTGTTTGCCTTGCTGGTCCAAATCATCTACTTGAGCCGACTCTTCTATTCTGGTATTTGGTATTTCCAGATACCAAATACCAGAGTAGAAGAATTTTCCTCTCTTCTGTTGTTATTTTCTGATATTTTTCCTTTTACAAGATTGTTCTATCTCTTCTAATTCCCACTTCATTAAACACTATGTTTCAAATGATAAATTGTCTTTGGTCTGTTAATCTCTGTTTAGTAATTTCTGAGTCTGTGTATTTAACTTTCTACAGTTTGTACATTTCGATGGTTCTGAATTATAACAAGCCATTACTACTCGATTTTCTGATGTTTCTTCTTTTGAGTTTCTTCTGATAACCCTGCAGTGCTGTGCCCCGGTTGATCAGCATCATCATCAGCAACTATGTCCTGTTGCCCACTTGTCAATGGATGCCCAGGGACACTAACATCCATCGCAATCCTTACTGACCTGGGCGATGACCAATCCGGTATGGGTTTCTTTTTTTCTCTTTGGCGTCACCGTGTAGATGGGTTGGCATGATAGTTGGTGCCATTTAGTCAGTCTCCTCTGAGACTGTCTGGCTTGGGTGACCCTATTGGTAGTGTACACTACTGCCAGCAAAGCTCCCAGCTTCTCTGGAGCATGCAGCCCCCTCACCACAACCAAGCAGCACCATTGAGAGTTATTATTAATTATTCCAATCCATTCCATTAATAATCCTTAATTACATTTATTTTGTTAGAAAACTTGGCTTGAAGAAATGTCTCAAGGTTTGAAAACAGAAAATACCGGAGACGACGACGAAGAGAATGACGAAGTGGGTGCAATTTCGTGTAATCCGCCAGTTCGTTTTGATGATAAAAAGTCCAAACAAAAGAGAAGGAGAGAGAAAGAAATGAAAGAAAAGGTATAATTTTATTCTATTCTAACTTCATCGTAATAAGAATACATTCTTGTTACAGGGAATTTAACGTACAAAAAATTTAAAGCATATAAACATGTATTTTTAAATTTAAAAATACAACAATGGTTTTCTGTTATAATTCTTTTAAATAAATACAATTATTATTAGATTTAATTTATGGATAGTGTTCTATGTCACAATAAATGATGTTATTAATGCCACTAAAATAACTTTAGGATTTATCACGTACACTAATTAAAAGCTATTTCATCATCAAATTTTAATTGATGAACTTTTAAAATGTATAGTATCTATGTTTGTAATTTAAACGAGATTAAAGCTTTTATGAAAAATATTAAGGAAATAAAACGACATTTTTAATATTAATAAATTAAATTTACAGTTAAAAGAAAAGAAAAAAAGAAAATTAGAAAATAAAAGAATAAATGAAATATATAGGTAAGTATAGCCAGTTTTTTTACATTAATTATTATTTTTTTCTATGAATAAAATCAAATATTACGATTTGAAGATTTTTAAATTTGGAAATAAAAATACGAAATGTAGTAAGCATCGTAAAATGGTTGGTTGATGAGAAATTTTTATAAAATAGAAAAAAAATCGGTATTTAGAAATGTAGAATAATTTGAGATTGAATTATAGAACTTTTGTATCAAACATTTTTGAAATTATTTTACTTTAGAAGATATTATTTAAAATTCCTCTCTACAAACAACACTTTTAGATCTAAAAATAGGTCCATATTGTGATAGATTATAAAAATGTTTATATTTTAAGTGCATTATAATCATATTTACAATAAAGTCTAAATAATTTACAAAACATATCAAGCTTTTTTAATTTACCATACGTCGTATTATATCTGGAAATGTATAATTATACAATTATATTTTTTGATGTTTATTTTGTATCTTGGATTCTATTTTTACTTTTGTGGCTGTTATGTATACAGAACACCGTAAAATATGGGAATCGTATCAAATTTGACCTTCCGAGGTTTTTGCAAATCTCAAAGTTTTGGGACCTCCTCAATTCAAAAAAGCCGAAACAAAAATTCCATGGATGTGTGTGTATTGACCTCTATTTTGCTTAATATCTCAGGATGAAGTAGAGATTAAGTAACAAAATTTGGCATGGTGGCTTTATATGTGGGTTATTGATGCTATTAAATGTTGGTGGTTAAAGGTCGAGAGAGTGGGGAGATAAAGGGAATCGCACATATCTCCTGTAGGGTCTGACTTAACAATGATTTTACTCATTAATGTTTATACTTTTTTATAAAACTTGTCCCTCTCCTCAGAAGTAAGCTTTCTGCCATTTTATAGTAATTAAGTTATATTGTAATTAAAATTATAAAAGTTATTTTCTAAATAAGATGTCGTAATAGCCGAGAGTCACGCAACTCGTTGCTGAATTTTTAAGTTAAACGAATTTCAAAATAAAAACTTATTGGTTTGTATCTAGTGCTTAAGCTTGAAAAAGTTTTAATTTAATATATACCGTGTTTCCCCGAAAATAAGACATCCGCAGAAAATAAGACCTAGCACAGATTTTGCTGAATTGCGAAATATAAGACCTCCCCCTGAAAGTAAGACCTAGAGAAGTTTTTTTTAGTCGTAACGGTCATCGACAGATGGTTGAAAGTGGCCGTTGGCTTTTTGAAAGTACAGCCACTGATTGGTCAGCAGACAATTACGCCACAGGGCATGATTTGCATAAGACTATGGCTTGGGAATCACAGATTTGCATAACGTTACGGCTGGTGATGGCTAATTGGTCGGCCGGGAATCACGCCACATGACATTTGCATAGTGCTACGGTTCAGTAAGCACTAATTGGTCATCGAGTCCGATGTTGACGCTATAAAAAGGCGACAGTTCGACACACCGGATATACGTCACTCTCGTCTAAGTTCGACTTGGGAATTTTTTTGTTCAATAATAAATGTGAATTCTTCTTCCTGGAAAAAATAAGACATTCCCTGAAAATAAGACCTAGCGCATTTTTCAGAGCAAAAATTAATATAAGACACTGTCTTATTTTCGGGGAAACACGGTAAATGAAAATGGTAATTATCTTCAAAAATTGTTAAATATGTTTTATAAACTTTTCAGTTTGTTAACATGTAAATTCATTATTCATCTTAACAGTACTTATTATTATTAATAATTAAGAAAAGATGTAATCTGTTAAAATTGAAATAAAATGCAATAAATAATGCAGAAATACATTTTGTATGTTTGAGCTTGACTATATGAATATATTGTACAGTAAATTGAAATACATCATTACAGTGATATCAGCATTTACTCCCCAATTCATGTCCTGTAATGGTGTGATGAGCTCAACAAACTGGAAGAATAATGATAAAAGCTCATTAGAAGGATGATTAAGGAAAAGCTAGGAAAAGAGTTGATAATGGATCCACATATTTTTTGTTGATGAGAGTGGGGAAAAAGATTCCATTCGGGAAGTCTGAGGAATGTATTTAAGTTCCCATAGTGTATTAATTAGAAATTGATTAAAGATAGATCACAGTAATAAAACAGAACAGTCTGTGGTGATGAACCTATTGGGGATTCCATAATGACAAGGTGGATTTCTGCAATCATATAATTTTAGAATATACATATTTATTTAAAAAGAGTATTTACAGAGTAAAACTTGTATAAAGACAAAGCATAAAAATTTGATTTTATTCCTCTCAAACACTTAAAAATTAAGATTTATGTGCTTAAAATCTGTTGAGTAAATGAATTAAACTTTTTTAAAATTTAATTTAATTTGAGTCTTTTTCTATTATTTCATAATTAGTATAATTGACCGCCATTGTAATTTTAATGATTAAAAGTTTAGACAATCTTTTTATCATAATGTTCATTTAAGCTAGAATATAGTTATATTTGCATTTTTAAAATATAATGACAGTAATATAAGACAAATATAATCCATAATAATTTTATAATTTTTATTTTTTGTAGGCTTAGAAGCATTAAAAAAGATATATTCAATTTAGAAAAGAAAGTCGAAGACAAACAAATGAAAAAAGACGAAAGACTGATTAAAAGAATGTATCGGCCGCACACCTTAAGTAAATATAAATACGAAGCGCCGGATCTCGAATTTAATCTCGGTGAAGAGTTGACGGGAGAGCTGAGGACAATAAAAGTCAGTTTTTTTATATCTATTTTTTCAATATTTAATTAAAAGAAAACTTTGTTTAGCATTGATATNCGACAATACTCGCTAACCTTTTACATTATTCTTTTTGACAATTTTCGGGATGTTTTTATTCTTTAAGGTTTAGCACGGTCTTAAGTTAGGCTTGTGGGGTCTTCCCCCTTTTCTCGGTGCAGACTTACTTTTTCCGCTCGGGAGCGCAAGTGTTCGCGAGTTTTTCCTACGGCGCTTTTCTCTCGTCGGTGAGTTGGTTTCTCTTCTATTTTTAAGTTTCTAAGGTGAATGGTGAGGAAACCTTCGTCCTAACAAAACATAAGCCCCAAACAAAAATATAATAAAAAGCGTAAATAAAAATAACGCTCGGACTTGGTTCCTTACAAACTTTTTACATGTTTATTAAATAAGTATCCATCCTTTTAGTTTTTTAAATATGATATTTTGTGTCAGGAGCAAGCAAGTTTTCAACCTGACCAATCTTGTCAAGATCAAATATTTATATTAAATGCACTGATACAGTTAAAATTGCAAAAAAAGAGAGGAAAGCTCTATGCTGTTTCTGTGAACTTTCGATCTGCCTTTGATACTGTCAATCATAAAGTTTTGTGGGCTCTATGAGAAAGAACGGGTTAAATAAACAGTTTCTTGGTCTTGTGATTGATATATATTCTAAAGCCGCTGCAAAAGTGAAAATATTATCTGAAACAAATGATTCATTTGGTGTCAGCATTGGAGTTTTGTAGGGTGAGATTTTGAGCCCACTGTTTTTTAATTTGTATGTCAATGGTCTCATAGTTCAACTTACTAAATCTGGTTTACCCGAGAATTCTCTCTCTGATCAAGTTGAGATACATGCACTAATGCCGATGACACTAATTTTGGCTGACTCTGCACTAATGCTACAAAAGAAAATTGTAATTTTAGAGGAATTTTGCTGTGACTACGGGTTAACCGTAAATGTTTCAAAAACAAAGATAATGGTATTCAAGAAGGGAGGTCGAATGTCATCTAGAGAAAGGTGGTTTCTGAACAACCAACCTTTACAAGTTGCTTTAAATTACGTATACTTGGGAGTTTTATTTTTGTCTTCTGGACAATTCTTACTGGCTGATAAGTATGCGTAAAGCTGAAATGGCATTGGGTTCTATGTGGCCTATTTTCTCAAGAGCAAAAATTAACTCTGCTTCTACTTATATGAAATGATTTTGTTCAATGATTTCATCTGTATTACTCTATGCAGCTCCTATATGGGCAATCACTTATTATGATAAACTGGAAATTGTCCTTGCTTTATATTTTAGAAAAATTTTCATTTTATACAACAAAATTCCAGCGTACATGTTGCGATTGGAGTTTCTAGGATATCAGTAATTACAATAAAAGTAATAATTTTATTTTGGATATGTCTCTTAAAATTAGACAATAAAAGCTACGTTAAACTAGCATATGATAAACTTTACAGATTGTGTTCAACGACAAAGGATTGCACATACAATTGGGCGTCAGCATTGCAAATCTGTTGGATCGACTTGATTTTTCCTTTCTATGGCTATCTTGGGATCCTCATTTGATTCGAATGTTGTCAGCCATTCGTTATAAAACTGTGCTGTGAACAAAGTATACAAGAAGATTGGTCTCTGTTAGGAAAGAATAAGCACTATCAATTATATTGCAGCATTAAAACGATGTTCATGTGTGAAGATTATTTGTTTATGGACATAAATTATTATGTTGAACACAACATAATAATCTTTCATTTGAGATGCAGTCAAAATTATATCGTAACATATAACAGCAGACTAACAATAGATCCTGAAAAAATATGTAGTAACTGTACTATGCAAGTATATGAAACTCGGGAACACGTATTTCTTCATCGTATAAAATTTAGAGATAGTAGGAACAAGTATTTAATAAGGTTTAAGTCTTGGAAAGATATTATTAATACATTGCACTTTATAAAAACTGATTATTACTCAATATTTTACTTTGTGTTATTTTGCACTAAATTATTAACTTGCTAAATATTATATTATATCACTATTGATTTTATTTTTGTAACAAATTACCCCTTGTAATGAACTAAGGTTCATACAATAAAGAATTGATTGATTGATTAATCTAATTCTTAAGTTGCTCTGGTGTCTTAAATTTGTTAAGGCACTGTTATTTTGTCAATAAGACTATATGAATTTGAATCCTATTTACACAGATGTTTGTATTTGTCAAGTTTTAATAGTTCATTCTTTGGGATAGAACATTACTTATCATGGAATTAATCTTATCAAAATTAAAATATATATTCAAAATTTCAGATGAAAATTGTTAAGATATAGTTATAACAAGTATGATTTATTTCAGGTGTGTTAAACTCATTTAAACAACGGGCCATTAATGCGGCTGGTAAGATTCACGCGGGCTGCATCACACTTACAAATTTTCTTAAAATTATAATTTGAAGCGAGAATGCAGGAATATAGATAGGGCAATTAAAACACATTATGTAGTTCAGTGAATTCAACTCAACAATATATAATTGCTATAGTATTGCTTTTATTTAATGTACATATTTATAAAACTAAAGTTAATTGTTTTCATCAGAAACTTGCCAGTGCTATCTTCCTCCTCCTAGTTTTCCAATATCTGGATTCAAAGACTGAGAACAAACAATCTACATTATGGCAGATAGATCGTCTTGATCTGTAAGCCGCATGCAGCTCATGTGCCGCCGAATTTATTTTAAACTTCAGAAAAGATAATTTACATAAGCTGAAGAAATATAGTTTATATAAAATGAAATACTAATGATAATTATACATTTATTAACATATATTGATTTATATTTAAATATAGAATTTTTATTTTATGCTTATAATTGATTATCTGTCAGTTATTGATTTTTATCTTGTTTCAGAACTAGAAATTTTAAAATTTTTAACGTTTTATCTTATTTTTTAAATGGAATTTGATTATCAAGCAATGTATTAAAAATGAATTATTATAGCTACATTTATAATCATTGCTATTTCATATTTGTTAAATTGTTATTTTTAATGAATTAGCACATTCCGAATTATTAAAAATAAACTTTTTCTGGTCGTGCACATTATAATGTTTAAGGCAAACACGATTGTTTGCCTTAATACGTGATGAACGGAAATCACAAATAAAATATTATCAAACACATTTGATATTATTTTATTTAAGTGAAATAAAATTAAATTGTATTAATAAATTAATTTAATTAAAGTCGCACCTCGTCCTATATGCGAGTAAATACGGTATATTATTGTTAACAATAATATACCGTATTTACCGTATTTCGATTTTGCAATAATAATTATGATGATGATGCAGTAAAAGGATTGTTTAAAAATGTAATAACTTGCAGTAAATTATATATAATAGACTACAAACAGTGAATTATCCATTAAAAATTTTAGCCTCGATTACTAATAATTCTAAGTCGAGATGCATATAATATTCCAATGTATATTCGACTGTAAGATTTAGCAAGTTTTATAGTGGCAATGGCCGATCTTTCGTAACTCCAAATTTTGAATCAAATATTAATTTGCGTAATTTTAAAAAAATGAAGTAAAATTTGTCAGCACTTTTGTTGTTCAACTTTTTTGAAAATCTTTCATTGGTTATGTAAAAAAAAATGACTAATTGTAACAATGTGATATTCTTTTGGATTTTATTCAACATATGAAAATTTTTATTTTTAATTCAAATTTTTAATAAGTTGTGTATATATTTATTTTTTGCCTTTATGTTTTTAGTTGTTAAAGTTTCCACTATGTGCTTAATAATAATATCACACTGCAAATGTAATGTTTCTTAGTAACGTTATTTCATCTCATCTCTGCGATACTTGTAAAATAAGTTATTTTTACTTTGCGGATTTATATCTTGCCACATATATGAGGAAGAGTCAAAAAGTAAGTTGCACTCATGCCAAAAATATAATACAAGTATGAAACGTAGGGGTTAAAAATATTTATTCATGTAAATGTGCAATTCAAGTACAAGATTTTACAAATACGTGAGCCGTTCACAGCCCGGCACACGTATTTGTAAAATCTAAGTGACTCGTACATCACGGAATTCATATAAAACGGAATTATCAACAGTGTTATAGGGGAGGTCGACTGTATTCAAAAGGTTCTTTTTCGTGGGGCCAAACACATGAAAATCACAAGATGCAAGGTCTGAATTGTAGGGAGGATGTTTCCGTACAGTCCATTTGAATTTTTCCAGCATGCTGAATGAGGTGTTGCTTTTGACAATTTTTCTGGCTGGTGATCTTTAATTGCTTTTGTCAGCCTCTTTGGGGTTGAAATTTCGATGCCCAATTGCATTCTTTTGGTGGTGATATGTCGATTGCAGCAAGTGCTTTATTAATATCCTTCACGATGGAATTCATTTGATTTCTTGGCATATTTTTCAAGGCTGGCAGTCTAAGTCTCTCAGCTGATCACTGCATATGATTTAGTATTTTTTCTTGAGTTCTTGAACTATTTCAGAGCAGTACCTGTTCTTGTTTGCCTTGCTGGTCCAAATCATCTACTTGAGCCGTCTCTTCTATTCTGGTATTTGGTATTTCCAGATACCAAATACCAGAGTAGAAGAATTTTCCTCTCTTCTGTTGTTATTTTCTGATATTTTTCCTTTTACAAGATTGTTCTATCTCTTCTAATTCCCACTTCATTAAACACTATGTTTCAAATGATAAATTGTCTTTGGTCTGTTAATCTCTGTTTAGTAATTTCTGAGTCTGTGTATTTAACTTTCTACAGTTTGTACATTTCGATGGTTCTGAATTATAACAAGCCATTACTACTCGATTTTCTGATGTTTCTTCTTTTGAGTTTCTTCTGATAACCCTGCAGTGCTGTGCCCCGGTTGATCAGCATCATCATCAGCAACTATGTCCTGTTGCCCACTTGTCAATGGATGCCCAGGGACACTAACATCCATCGCAATCC